CCATCTACCAGGATGATGAAGATGAAACGTGGCTGGACATTTCAGCAAGACAATGAGCCCAAACACAACTTATTACAAATAACTTCATTTCTGGACATTTATGGTTTGATTTCTTTGTATGTATGGATCACTTGGGTTGTTACCAACATCTGGTGAAAATTTCATGTCATTAGCACCTCTAGTAATATATTTACTGAGAAAAATGATGACGTGTTCAATACTTATTTTACCTGCTGTAATAGGTAGCTGTAGTGCATTGGATGAGAAATTTGCAATAATAGGATTTTGTCAAAATATGCTGAAATACATTTTTCAAGGACGTTTTAAAGCACTTTTCTGAGCATCATCTAATGATGACTGTGAGCAGAGAAGCCCCATTTTTGTTATTTTCACTGAGCACTGCTAGCAAAGCTACAGTATTTTTGATACCAGCTGGAAAATCCTGTTTGAGGTTTCTTCTCTCAAATAATGTAAAAAAAATCTTCAATAGAATACAGTAAAAATACGAATCAGACTATTTTACAGGGGTCATCCCAACTAGCAAGACAAATCAAGTCTCTGAAACTGTTTATATTAGGATGATCTAGATGTAATTTAAAAAAAAACAGGAATCTGAAAACCAAATATGATTTAATCCCGGTCTGTTAAGAAAACATTCCCTCTATTAGATATTATTGAAACTTAATAATTGAAAGAAATATATAATGTAATGTAATGTCTTTCTATAATGTAAGAAACGTGTCTCTACTGAAAGGCAAGAGCAGACACAAACACAAATTCAGATTTAGACTTGAACATTTAACTGCAAAAGAATAAAGCCATACCACAACTTTCAGCAGGACCAATACAGACCTTCATGCAGAATAAAAAAAACACATTTTATCTCATTTTTTCTGGGGTTGAGCCACTCCCCAGGAGCAAGACGTGTTGACACAATCATCGTAATCCCATTAATTAATTTTGTGCCCATATAAAGGATACATTTAGATAATTTAATCTGAATATGTTTAAATCCGATCAAAGAACTTCGCATATGTAAACACAGCTACTAAGTAGTTTAAGGGTTTATGTGGATGTTTTGTTGACACTGTTTACATTTAAGAGATTTCTTACATATACATCCAGCATTGTCACCCTACCTAGACCATTTGCGCCCGCCTCCTTCCCCCCACCCCCCCCCCACCCATGTAAAAATTTCTAGATCACTGCTTATATTCTAAAAATAATGTGTTTGTCTGTTGTGTGTAGGTGTGTGTTACCTAATCTGTTTCTTTTTAAACACACTCTTGTTTGTAATGACCCGTGACACAGGTCATTCCAAACAGAGTCTATCATTTAATCACAGTTTTAATCATAGCACATAAAGATATGTAATTATACATTTTAGATTATCAAAAATAGTCTATATCTCTCAATGAAAATAAGAGTGTAGTGTATTGTGTATGTGTGTGTAGTGCATTAAAAAATCTGTGTTAAACAGAATAAATTTTCCTTCACTAACTTTTCCTTTTTCTTTTCATAGGAAAACCTTTCCATCCCAGCATGCAACACTGTCTGGATTTGCTGCAGTTTATATTTCTGTAAGCACCTGATTTGCTTCCTTTAACCAAGCTGCTTTTGCATGATTTGTCCACGAGTGTGTGTGTGTGTTTGTGTGCTTATTCTAAATTATAACAGTTTCAACCAGATTAGATGCTATTCTTTGTCATGTAGAGTAAAATAATAAAATATGCAGCACACAACAAGATTGTTTAACACCATATATCCCTTTCTGAGACACAGGGCAGATGATCGCTATGCAACAGATGTGCTGCACACTCTGCACTGGTCATAAGTCCATCACAGAGACAAACAAGACAAACAACCATCCACACCTCACTATCACACAGGAAACATTTAGAGCTACCAGTTAATCTAACATGTAGGTTTCTGGTCAGTGGGATGAAAACAGAATACCCGCAGAAACCTGCAGAAATCTCACACATGCATGAGGAGAACACAGAAAGGCCAAGTGGCAAACATTTGACCTTCTTGTTCTGAGGTGACTTTGCTCCATTGTGCTGTCCTTGTGCTGTAATAGTCATTTATACATCAAAACATTCAACCTATTAAAGAGACTTATACTTGTGTTTATTTAACGTTTTTACTCTTATAAAAACTGTATTTACAAAAACAATGACCTATCAAAATGCTGGGGTTCAGTCTCTGCTACTACCACAGCAGATTTAAGCTTAATATCTGTAAAAATTGTCTTGTTGCTTCTTTGCTATCTTTAGCCTCTAGCTACACTTCTTTATTTTTGGCCAGCTTTTTGGATACTTTAAGGTATTCTTTTGCTACTTATAGCTTAGCATTTTACTTCTTTTAGCTTTAGGGTGCTAAAAACCTTTTTTTATCTTTTAGCTTTAAGTTAGGCGTTTGTTACATTTAGCTTGTAGTGAGCCTTTTGCTGCTTTTAGCTTTCCTTTTTGCAACTATATATTTTTGCTAGTCTTTTGGTACATTCAACAAGCCTTTTGTTAATTTTAGTTTAAATTTTAATTTACATTTAGCTTATTTAAAGTTTAGGCTAATGTTTTGCTACGTTTATATTTTAATCAGGGTTTTACCACATTTAGCTTTAAACTAGTCTTTTGCTACTTTGCCTAGTGTTTTGCTATGTTAAGCTAACATTTTGCTTTTTCTTTTAGCTAGTTCTTGACTTTATTTAGTTTCAGCAAGTTATGCAGCCCTCAGTATTTACCAGGGGCAGAGTGGGGAAACTTTTCAGCCCGGGAGTTTAATGATCAAGACCGGCCCAATTTTTGTACATATAAAAAATTAGGCAAAGATGTAGCACTAGCATGTAATATTTTTGTATTTTGTATTCATTGACCAAAACCTGCCTCTTCACACTTCATCAACAACAAAGTAAATGTTTCTGCTGTGGTGCAATAATGTGTATTCAATCACACCTATATGATGTTCACCTGCATTATACTATGTACTGTAGCAGCTCTTTAATCTCACCAGTACAGTTTGACCATCAACTAACACAGTTCAGTTTGGTGGTGCGCTGCAGGTGTGTTGGTTTATTATCTCTAATGTTAAGCAATGAGCATCAGAAGCATTGTAATGTGTGTGAGGGGGGCATTAGTGGGAGATTGGAAGATTTTTGTAATTAGCAAATGCAGTTTCCTGCATTCTGGTGTATTTTACCAGGTTCCTAAACATATTTTAAATACATAAAAAACACTTGATTAAATAACTAAATTAGAGACAGATTCTAGTTGAATCATCATGTTTTTAAACTCACTGCTGTGGCTCAGATAATGAAATTAAGGTGACAATTTATCCCAAACAATGACTTTAGAGGAGAATTTTACTATTAAATTGTTTTTTCTTGATTTAGTTTTATTTGTAACATGTCATGTTTTTGCAACCTGGTGGGGACCATTTTCCCAGTAAACACAGCCTAGTGGTGAGGACCCACTGTTCCTTATGGGGGAATAGCCCGGTCCCTGTTGGGGAAAATACTGTTGGTGGGTCAGGGTTGGGCTGTAGAAATGACCGGTAAATGAAGTCAATGCAAAGTCCCCATGAGAATAGAAGAACGTGTGTGTGTGTGTGTGTGTGTGTGTGTGTGTGTGTGTG